GCAGCATGCATACATTGACGCTGCACATTAAACCACTCTTAGATGACATACACACGTGGATCAGGGCAGCTGCAAGATGTGCTACCCCCATGACCTTGTCTTTCCTAAAATGTAATGGAGAAATGGGGACTCATTGAGAATATTGTGGACTTGGCTTCATAATGACATTATCTGGATACTTGGGAACGATTTTGCCCAGAAATCCTTACAATGACATAACCTGGGTACTGGTGACCTATTTTGTCCTGAAATCTTTACAGTGACACAATCTGGATGCTTGGGAACGAATTTGCCCAGAAATCCTTACAATGACACAATCTGGGTACTGGGGACCTATTTTGTTCTGAAATCCTTACAATGACACAATCTGGATACTTGGGAACGATTTTGCCCAGAAATCCTTACAATGACACAATCTGGGTACTGGGGACGTATTTTTTCCTGAAATCCTTACAATGACACAATCTGGGTACTGGGACCTATTTTGTACTGAACTCCTTCCAATGTCCGTACATTCTCACAATAACACAGGGTACTAGTGACCTCAGACCTTCACAGGACCACAATGACACGGAGGAACAGGCACAGTTCATCACAGTATTGACACAGTTAGACATCTCCAGACTTAACTCTCAGCACAACAAACTCTGACCAACAGTATGTGTGCTGAGTGACAGAGTATCTCCAGGGCTTTCGGAACACATGCATACAGATTCATAGCAATGGTCACCATTCACCAGCTCATTAGTACCTGGACAATGTTAATTAAAGGAAGCCAATAGTTCTGTACCAGTAATCACTTGACATGGTTACCAGAACTGTTCCTACTGTCGCAAAATGGTGAACAATGTATCATTGAATCATAATGTTTTAACCATTCTGAGCATGATTCACTTCTACTGGAATATCAGATACTACTTTCATGACAATACTTCCAAACAGTGGATAGTCACAATATCCTTATCAAAAGTTGAAATGTATATTACAAATCCATCTAAACTAATTACTAATACAATTACAGTATCCCCAGATATTTTTCAAAATGGAATCTCATAACAAGACTGCATCTACCACTGAGAAATATTGAACATTTGAATTCATAGCATAAATTAGCATTAAAAAAATAAAATTAAATTATGTTCAGTAAATAATCACAACAGGATCTCAAGCCATCCAAATGGGAACAATTACTTTTTCGCAACAAAAAGCAGTGACAAAGTCGCATCTGCACACATCTCGGAGTTCAATATTTACACGAGCCACGGGAATGCGAGATTTATTGGAGTGGTCGGTGCAATGGGTACAGCTAGCGTCTCCGCTAAACATGGACATACACACTACCTGAGAATACCAAACAATGTGCTCACACAAAGCTGGCAAATTTGGCACGTTTTTATCTTCACCAGTGAAAATGCTGGTAATGCACAAAGGAAAGGCGACAGTGTACACACAGACTGTAAACCATCACTCCATGCTGCGTCAGCTGTAGAGGGGGGTATCAAAGGGTGATGTTTCAACCGTCACTCCATGCCGGGTCAGCTGTAGAGGGGCGTGTGGAGGAGTACTGTTTCAACCGTCATTCCATGCTGTGTCAGCTGTAGAGGGGTGTGTCATGGCGCTGTATGATATTTCAACCATCACTCCATGCCAGGTCAGCTGTAGAGGTGCCAGGTCAGCTGTAGAGGGCGTGTCGGGGTTGATATTTCAACCATCACTCCATGCTGTGTCAGCTGTAGAGGGTCGTGTGGAGGAGTACTGTTTCAACCGTCATTCCATGCCAGGTCAGCTGTAGAGGGGTGTGTTGGGGTGTGTGTGATGTTTCAACCACCACTCCATGCTGTGTCAGCTGTAGAGGGGTGTGTCATGGCGTGATATTTCAACCATCACTCCATGCCGGGTCAGCTGTAGAGGGGCGTGTCGGGGGGTTGATATTTCAACCATTACTCCATGCTGTGTCAGCTGTAGAGGGGTGTGTCATGGCGTGATATTTCAACCATCACTCCATGCCGGGTCAGCTGTAGAGGGGCGTGTCGGGGGGTTGATATTTCAACCATTACTCCATGCTGTGTCAGCTGTAGAGGGGTGTGTGGGTGGGGGTGATGTTGTTTCAACCATCACTCCATGCCAGGTCAGCTGTAGAGGGGCTGTAGAGGCGTGTTGGGGGTGTGATGATGTTTCAACCATCACTCCATGCTGTGTCAGCTGTAGAGGATGTGTCATGGCGTGATGATGTTTCAACCATCACTCCATGCCAGGTCAGCTGTAGAGGGGCGTGTCGGGTGGGGTGATGTTTCAACCATTACACCATGCCAGGTCAGCTGTAGAGGGGCGGTCGGGGTGATGTTTCATCCATCACTCCATGCCAGGTCAGCTGTAGAGGGCGTGTCGGGTGTGATGTTTCAACCATCACTCCATGCCAGGTCAGCTGTAGAGGGGGTGGGTGATGTCAACCATCACTCCATGCCAGGTCAGCTGTAGGGGTGATGTTTCAACCATCACTCCATGCCGGGTCAGCTGTAGAGGGGCGTGTCGGGGGGTTGATATTTCAACCATTACTCCATGCTGTGTCAGCTGTAGAGGGATGTGTCATGGCGTGATGTTTCAACCATCACTCCATGCCAGGTCAGCTGTAGAGGGGCGTGTCGGGGGGTTGATATTTCAACCATCACTCCATGCTGTGTCAGCTGTAGAGGGATGTGTCATGGCGTGATGTTTCAACCATCACTCCATGCCAGGTCAGCTGTAGAGGGGCGTGGTCGGGGGGTGATGTTTCAACCATTACACCATGCCAGGTCAGCTGTAGAGGGGCGTGTCGGGGGGTGATGTTTCATCCATTACTCCATGCCAGGTCAGCTGTAGAGGGGCGTGTCGGGGGGTGATGTTTCAACCATCACTCCATGCCAGGTCAGCTGTAGAGGGGCGTGTCGGGGTGTGATGTTTCATCCATCACTCCATGCCAGGTCAGCTGTAGAGGGGCGTGTCGGGGGGTGATGTTTCATCCATCACTCCATGCCAGGTCAGCTGTAGAGGGGCGTGTCGGGGTGGGTGATGTTTCAACCATCACTCCATGCCAGGTCAGCTGTAGAGGGGCGTGTCGGGGGGTGATGTTTCAACTATTACACCATGCCAGGTCAGCTGTAGAGGGGCGTGTCGGGGGGTGATGTTTCAACTATTACACCATGCCAGGTCAGCTGTAGAGGGGCGTGTCGGGGGGTGATGTTTCAACTATTACACCATGCCAGGTCAGCTGTAGAGGGGCGTGTCGGGGGGTGATGTTTCAACTATTACACCATGCCAGGTCAGCTGTAGAGGGACGTGTCGGGGGGTGATGTTTCATCCATTACTCCATGCCAGGTCAGCTGTAGAGGGGTGTGTCGAGGGGTGATGTTTCAACCATCACTCCATGCTGGGTCAGCTGTAGAGGGGTCTGGTCTGGTGTGGGTATGGGTGTACCTTCAGCGTAATCAACCAGTGCACTCAATAACAAAACTTAAAACCTTTTCTTGGCCACGTGAAATTTAACATCAACGGAAACCAGTTTGAAACTTCTAAACACTCACAACCATGCATGCTTGAAAGGGTGTTTAGTTTCTTTTATAAACTGTATCTGTGCCAAGGAACCTAGGAGCATTCGTCTGAGCAGCTCTGCAGCCAATATAATACCTTTCTTGAGGCTTGGTACATGTAATTGGATATTTAATACTGAACAAACAATAGGAAGTGAAATCACTACAACCACAATGACCGTCTTTATGCACCGCAGGCCCTGAGCTATTCATTGAGGCCATAAACTGTGAACATTACCTTTATGGGATATAAAAACTGTGGCTTACTAAGTTTTCTACAATATGTGAAATCAGCCTCCAGTCAGGCAGGTGTTTTGAAGTCTGTAGTATAACCTTTGAAATGATGTTCAGTACAGGGGATACTTCATTTGCAAACCCTCCAAAGAGAGGTATCTACATAGGTAACTGCATCTGTAGTAAACCCTCAGAACTGAGGTGGTCATGTGCTACATGGGGTACTCCATCTGCAGTAAACCCTCAGAACTGAGGTGGTCATGTGCTATGGGGGTACTCCATCTGCAGTAAACCCTCAGAACTGAGGTGGTCATGTGCTACATGGGGTACTCCATCTGCAGTAAACCCTCAGAACTGAGGTGGTCATGTGCTACATGGGGGTACTCCATCTGCAGTAAACCCTCAGAACTGAGGTGGTCATGTGCTATGGGGGTACTCCATCTGCAGTAAACCCTCAGAACTGAGGTAGGTGGTCATGTGCTACATGGGGTACTCCATCTGCAGTAAACCCTCAGAACTGAGGTGGTGGTCATGTGCTATGGGGTATTCCATCTGCAGTTAACCCTCAGAACTGAACTTGTCAGGTCTTATTACATTGAGTACTTTATCAATAGCAAAGTGAGGTGGTCAGGTGTCCTTACATGGAAAATTTTTCCTGTTAAACCCTCAGAAGTGAGGTGGCCACGCCTCCTTACATTGAGTATTATATCTATAAGGTGAAGTGATCCTGTGTCCTTAGAGAGGGACCCAGATGTCCATACTGGCTAGTACATACTGTCTACCCTGTGTCCTGATTGGATCCAGACTAGAAACTTAGAACTACTGATTGTCTTCAGTGTCACCGAAACTAATTTGGGTGGTCAGTCTCTGAGACTTGGGAAGTTTGAAGTCACTGTATCAACAAAGAAATATGTCATTGCTCATGACACTTACAAGTTTCACAGTGCAGTTGCAATTAACAAGCTACAATATTACAGCTGGAATATTGTTTTCCACAGTAGAAACTAACATTGTCTTGTTAGCTGAATAAAAATCTTAAAAATTGAAGAAAGAGGAAATAAAGAAAAGTGTCCTGCAGCTGTGTAAAGCTGTGTTCTGTCAGCAGTTTGTGTCTTTATTGTGACTGCCTAGTGTGACCTGTGCCTGGTCATTCATCTGTAGATGAGAGGACACAGTCTACTGACAGGTGCTCCAAGGCAGGGGAAGGACCCTGGGACAAAGGCCTGTCTGGGACAGAGCGACAACAACATCGACAGGACCCTGTGGAAATGACTGCTCTCTCTCTACAAATTATGTAATATCTGAATACAACAGAACGTGCGAATCATGAATGGAGGAAACACCGGTGAGCCTCAAACAGCAGTTGTGTTGGGTATTCATGTCACAGCTACGAGCCAATAAGATTGAAGAGGGTTTATCTGTTGAGGGTAAATCCCTCGTCAGTTTACACCTCACAGTGGCAGACTAAGCCTTCAGAAGGGACAGACAGGGCTTAGCCAGGAGATCGAAGGAGAGAGCGGAGATTGAAGCAGTGCTCGTCACAACAGTGTGGTAGTCTCGGCAAGACAACGTGACGACGGACTACAAATTCTCTGTAAGCTGGCATGAGAACTCTGTGACAAGCAGTCTATATTCATGACTGGGCCAGTGTCAACAAAGTACAGCCTTTCAACTTCATTCAGTCAACCACTTCTGTAGGACATTTTTTAACACCGGAGAATGATTTTGTCACCACTGAATTGCTGGCTTTGTGTGTTCCCATGTGGCTGAGTGATATGTCAGTACAATGACCACATCGAATCGGTAGGACGAGGGGCACGGTGTCGTCTCATGCTTCATGATGACAAATACATCATCAGCAGTATAGTTCTACATGTGCGAGGTAAGTCTCCCATCAGTGGTAAGTCTCCCATCAGCGTGGTCCTCAGAAGCAGCCTTCCCTCAGTTTACAAGAGTATTCAGTATCGCTGTGGAACAATCCACTGCTCCCTCCAAGCCTGCACTGTAGTGGCCACCACAAGCTGTATAATGTAATATCAATACATTTGAAAGTCAGATGCTTCTCGGTGAGATATTCCTGGTAATTGTTTTCCTGACTGTCGAGCATTTCGATAGACCTGTCAGATCTCATGCTGCTAATGTCTGATATTCTGATGTATACAAATTACAGTAGGCTTATCGCTATCTGGGGAGCAGCGAGCTTTTTAAAACCTACTGTAGTGTTATCAACATCATTCTGGATGTCTCATACATACTGATCATTGGAACCCTTCATCAGAATCCAGCAGAATTCCCCGGGGATTATTCTGACAACACTGCTGTCATATAATTCCTCGCTGTTTCATCAATCTGTCTTCAACATTCTCCTTATCATGGCTTCATCCAGATCTGCTCCGAGGTGATTATTTAGCCCCAAGCGTTGAGTAAATATCACTTAAACTTTCAAAAATGAATTTCTCCTATTTATGTTAATCAACTGTAATAGAAGTGATTATAACCTTTCCATAATCATAAGAAATTGCTTGTTTGATCACAAGCTATCACTATCATCACTATCATGTCGTTGGCTCTGTAGATTGGTTAGTTGTTTAACGCCACACTCAGCAATATTCCAGCTGTATGGCGGTGGTCTATAAATAATCGATTCTGGATCAGACAATCCAGTGATATCAGCATGAGCATCGATCTACAGAAATGGGATATACGATGACGTAGTGTCAACCAAGTCAGCGAGCCTGACCACCCGATCCCATTATTTTCCCCTTATGACAAGCATGGGTTGCTGAAGACCAATTCTAACCCGGTCTTCACTGGTCGGCTTTGTGGAAGTAATTGTATATTACTGATAGGAGCACCAGTAAATCCTCAGAGGCCTTAATGCCTATTTCTACATACAGCAATGACAAAATATCAGAATTTCAGAAAATGAGAACTTTAGACAAATCACAATTTTGAGTCCTTAATGCCTATTTCTAAATTACTGTAAAGTCAAACATGGGAAACAGGGACTTTTAAAAAATGTTTAAAAAATGATGATTTTCCACCCAGTTAGTCAACCAGGGGCACTCAGACAAACCCTGATAAACCCTTGGATAGTTATACACAGGAACAATAATATTTGGGAAATGCCGTTGGCTTGTACGCAACACATTGATGACTTCATACAGCCATGTCCGGATAATGTTTCCATATATTTCTGCACCTCTCATGTGCTATCACAATTATCACTTATTTTATCTTGTTTACTCTACATTTCTGAGATTCCAAATCTTTGATGAGAAAAGTCACTTGGATGCAAGGAGTCATGCGGTTTATGCACTATGGGAGGTTCAAGTCGATTCGGTTACCAGAATATCAACAAAATGCAATGAAATTGGGAAAACATAATTTTGTGTTCATTTGAGGATTTAGAAATTTTCATCTGGAAAGTGTTCAAACAATAAGAAACGAATTTGATGCCCAACACAAGATGAAACTCATGCAATGAAATAGCACTACAGCTTACCTCCATTGCGAAGGTGAGGGTGGGGTAAAAGTCACAATATACGGTGCAATACTGCCTGGTGGGCATGTTTATATTTGAATCTGGGATTCCGGGTTACTCATCTATATTTGAAACATGTATTTGGAACACATTCTAGGGTTATTATTCTTATAAAGATATGGTATAAGAGTCTTTAATTCCCTCAAAGTTACATGAATCGTGAAGTGGAATGGATGCCATCACCCTCACCCCCATCATGAAGACCCTGCTTACCTCCAGACTTTACCACCCAAATCACCACAAATATACATCCTAAACACCACCCTGGTTGACACATCTGATTGTATCCCAGATGCGCAGATCGATGCTTATGGTGTTGATCACTGGATTGTCTGCTCCAGACTGAATTATTTACAGACCACTGCCATATATATGGAATATGGCTGAGTTTGGTGTTTAATAAACAAAAAAAACAACAACTAAACACCCCCCTGATTGCCATCATCCATCACCCAACATACATCTTAAAGTGAGAATGGACAAACTGCAGAAAGTAACTGCAACTATCCCTGCTCTAAACAGGCCTGGCTGACTTGGTGTATCATTTTACCCGATGTATGACCTGATCAGCCACAACCATCTTCAGCATTGCCTGCTCCTTGCTTATCATAATTGGCTGACTGCCATGCTACATATAAGATACTGAACATGATAGAAGGCTGATACTCTAGCTCATTTTGATAAACCAGTAGGTAAATACCTCTCTATGTTCAACACACCTATCTCCATGTCAAACCCGTGCATAAGATTGTCTTTGTTGGTGGTTTGCTCAACAAGAGTAAGCCCCAGAGGTCAGGGGGTCTGGTAATCTGCAGCACTTCTCCCTGGTGTGACCCCCAAGCTCGTGGATTAAGTCCACTTCAGTACCCACATTAACGTCCTGTGTGCATGGTGCAGCAGTAATCAGATCTCGACGCCAGCCATTAAAGCCGCCTTATAAAACAAGAGAGTACAGATGCCTGTCCTTTATGTGCTGCACTGCATGTGTTAAGTAAAGAAAAATATCTGCAAATTTACATCTGAAATGCCTGCAATAAAACACCATGCTAATTTTCAGCAAAATATTAAATTTCTTTGGACGCCAATTGACAAAAACCATGAAGCGGTTACATGTGAGTCTCCATGTGTAGATGAACCCTATCATTAGCTGAAATTTCTTAAATTTCCGAGAGGCAATTTCATGTCTCTCCAGTCCCTCGATGAGAAAAGAAATGTGTTTTCTGAAAGAATCTGGCAGTCTTCAAAGAGCTACTCAACATTATGAGACAAGAGGCTTTAAAACCAGCATGATGAATTTCCCAGCTCCCCGAAACGGTATTGACAAAATGCATATTAGTCACAAATTGGGAAGCATGAGAAGGGTGCGACCAACGAGTCGGCTCAACGTTCTGCAGACTGATTCTGTAAGAAGCTCTGTGTGTCTTCATTGTCCTCACTGTGAGTCAGAGATCGGTGAATATACCCACTAGACCTCGACAATGTGACTCACCTTCCACCATTGTCTACTGGTCATCCCCGATCAAACGGGAACTATCAGTATTAGGGGGGTGGGGGTGGGGGGAGAGTAGAAGAAATCAGTATTGATTTATTGTAAGTCTGGCCTGCGATCACCTCCGCTTGATGCTGGAACCCAAGGTCTGACACCAGGATCTGTTGCCGGAGTTTCCTCACCAGCCCCCTGTGAGGGCCTGTCACCAAACACAAAAGGGGCTGTTAAGCACCGTGTTCGAGAAACTAATATAGAATATTCATCAGAACAGAGATGCTGTGCTCCTGAAATCTGGGGATTCCTTTCTTTGTTTTCTCTCCAGCTTTTGACACCACGCACGGATTAGGTGGAGCATGGTTTCATGTGATCTGTCCTTTGCAAACCTGGCTCTGTAGTGACAGATCTTGTTGCTAGAATTCAGACTCACAGGAATGGCAGATATCTATACTCTGATTTCATGTTTTCCTTTGAAAAGAAAGGAGTAAGATACTTTATGAATAACAAGTTCATTAGGATATATGATGGACGTTTCGGTATAGATCCTGCTTCACAACGGTATAAGAATCTATACTAAAACATTGCATCGTATATAATAAAGAAAGTGTTATCCATAATGTATCTTACTTTCTTACTACTGACCACTTCTAAAATGCCAATCAAACAGATCATGTTTTCCTTTGACTGATATTTGGTCCCAGAAATAAAATGGTATCATTTAAAAATGTATTTCTACAAAACAAATGAATATAATAATATCCAAAAGGATGAGGCAATCTAGACTTGCTCTATCTTGAGTTGGGCTCCCTTTAACATTAATTCCCTTGGATCTTGAAGGTAGACTATGTTTTCCTGAGGTGAGGTGAGGTGAGGTGAGGTGAGGTGAGGTGAGGCGAGGTGAAATTGGGTTTTACGTCGTGCTTGAGAATATTTCGCTCATATGACGATGTGCATGCGTGTGTATGTGTATGTGTGGCTGCTTGTACTAGCCCAGACTGCAGCTGGTTTTATAGTGCTAGCCCACTGAGATACCATGCCGCAGTGAAGCATGAATACCCCACTCAGACACATTATACTGACTCCGAGCCGACCAGTCCTTGTTGTACCCATTAATGCCGAGCGCCAGGCAGGGACCACGAAGTACCATATTTTAACGTCTTTTGGTATGACGCGGTCGGGGATTGAACCCGCAACCTTCCGCTCTCCGGGCGGACGCTCTAACCACTACACCACAGAGGCGGTCTGTTTTCCTGAAAGCAGCAGAAACAAACATATCTGAATATGACCAAGCAAGTGTACAATACTTTGCCAAGTGTAAATATCATGAAGATGTCATGAAGATATCATCTTGGTCTCATGGAATTTTATCTAAAAATACAATTTAACCCATACAAACTAAAAAAGATTTGTTTTTATTTCAGAGACTTAATGTAAGTCTCAGGTTCTAGTTGATCAAGATCTTCTATTCTTACTGAAGTTATTCTCATTGAGTGCTAGATAACTAGCCGACAGCCCTAGAGCCAAGAATTATCTTATAATCGAAGCGTCTTGTCTGAGCTGATGTAACTGGCTATCTCCACAAAACTACTGAGCTCAGACTATATAAAGCATTTTGTGATCTACAAAAGAGAAATGCCCATGTTTAGGGCAGGCAAATGACAGAAGCAGAAGCTGAAGAAATTTTAGTTTTACACCGCTTTTAGCAATATTCCAGCAATATCATGGCAGGGGACGCCAGAAATGGGCTTCACACATTGTACCCATGTGGGGAATTGAACCCGGGTCTTCGGCGTGACGAGCGAACGCTTTAACCACTAGGCGTCCCCACCGCCCTTAAAGAACACCTGATCCTTTCAATTTACAGCAGTTAATCTGTTACAGCATGACAGTTTAGCAATGATAATATCTCACCATGCCATGGCAAATAAATTACCATAATTAGAAAGAATCCCATATTTCTGAACTTGCTTTGAGTTTAATACCCAAGCCCAACTAAACCAGTATATTCCAAAACATTGACCCTAACCCATCAAACCCCTTTGATAAAAATCTGGGAGATTTCCTTGACTTAAGCTTAAATAAAGCTTTGGACATATGCAAAAGGTAGAAACATTAACAGATTCAAAATTGTTATCAATCTTTGAAAATCAGAATCATTTATATTTCCAGGTCTCGTTGGTACAGTTACTGAGGCAACTATCCTCCACCAGGTTCATCAGCAGCATCTAAAGACTCAGATCAACCCCAAACCATACTCAATCCTGCAAGAAGAGTGCCGCCAGACAAACCTGGGAAACACCCAAGCTTCCATGCTGCACCATCAGTAACAGCCATGCCTCCACTACGCACCATCACCACTGTCGCAGATGTTGCTGTCCCCAACGAAGAACGTGTTTGCAGGCACTGGGTGACATGTTTTTCTGACTCCCAGGCGTAAGATGAAATGTTTGCAATGATGGGTTTGTGTGCAGAGGAGCCAAGTCTCGCCTGCTGAAAGTGCGATCGTCCACAACACAAGCACAGAAAGGTACACAGAATTTGAAAAGGGTGGCTCGTCAACTCCCTGCATGCACAAAGGCAATTGACTTGAGTGTAGTGGCCGGTCGCTCCTTCAAGGCGGCCCCTTGTAAACATAAAGTGTAATGCAAGTGAGGAAACAGGCCCTTTCTCAAACCTCCCCTTGTCCTGAAGCTCTTCACACCACTATTAGACAGTAATTATTGTAATATGGTGTGTGTGTAGTATATATCGGACTTCCTTATACATACAGATGGTAATTATTGTAATAGGGTGTGTGTAGTATATATAACAGGAAGGCAATCCTTGATATTTTTATTAGGGATATATTGAATATTATATCAGAAATATTAATTGAAGCTTATATCCCAAGAACTACATTTTTTTCAGCTCATATACGATTGAGCTAGTCTCTGATTTCAGGAACCAGCAGTGTACCTCCTTTTGTTTTAACATCTTTCAAACATTAAGTTAGTTTTCTTGTGAGAGAGCAAGATTGAGAGAGTGCATGCTTGCTTGCTTGATTGCTTAATTGCTTAATTACATAAACCAACAAACACTGAGTGAGTCACGCACGTCATCCTACCTTATCCTGTATTAAGAATTAAACAACCTGTAAGATGATATACTTAATCTTAATACTATCCACATAACTTACATATTTAATCCCATTTAATATCATTTTGTCACAACTTTTTTGTTTTAAATTTCAGACATTCTGCAAATTAGTGCTGTTAATCCGCAATGATCCTCTATTGCCGGGACACCTGTGCACATATTGATGTAAGCTTCTCAGGTGTTGGACTCACAGATACTACGCGAAAAAACAATTCTGATTCTAGCTTTTGGGACGGAGCCAGAGACAGATTATTCAGTGTGATCTGACACTAATGTTCAAAGGAATTATCAGATTTGTGGATAAACGGGCAAAATGCATATACAGTTATCCAAGAATTAGTTAAAAGTGATCAACAAGTGACACTGATCACATTAATAAAAGATCCAATTTGTTGCTCTGATTAAATGGCCTGCCCCACCTGGACTTAATGGAGTGTGGACATGGATAAAGGTATATGGTAATAAAACAATCCAGTCCAGTGGAGAAGGCACACATTCTTAATTACAGGTGTGTGTTTCACCTGGAACAATAATTACAGGGGTATGTTCCACCAGCAGGATGTGTACATGCCACTAACCAATGTTGATTTAACTGTGATGAATACAGAACCATCCAGCTAGAGGTATGAATGGAAATACATCAACTACCTATTGTTGTCTGACAGGCCCAATTACAGGTTCTGGTCAACTGCCCCTTTGAGTGGACACACTGAACGAGGTGCTGTGTGGCATGTATCTGCTGCAGCGAGCAGATCACAATAGGTGGCATTACCAGGGGTCAGTGGTTTCTAATGCAAGCTTGTCTCCTGCAGGTGTGCTGGAAGTCAACAGAAGCTGGACATACCATACAATGACATGGGCAATTGTGGGAAATAATCTGTATAACACACCCTATTACCATCCAAGTGGACAATAAAGTGGACAGTCTGGTGTTGGCAGTCAGTCGGTCCTGTGAGCTCCCTGGTTGATATTGTGTGTAATGGCCCTGCCAAGAAGGGAATACACTGGGTTATATACCGGCAGGATCATATAGTGTTGAAGACTGCACGTTGCAATCACAGGTTATAAGTGTGCACAGTTTCATTGTTTATGTGGTTACTTGGATGCTCTATGGATGTCTTCTACATATTCAAGACACAAAGCTTTAAATGGTCATCATTCTCTGTGTGTAAATCAGTCAAAATGATCAGTATTACAGATCCCAAGAAATCCACACAATCCACGAGCGTAATCTAGATCCAGCACATCCACCATGAGGAGCTTCAGTGTGAGGAGGGTGAAGACCCTCTTTCTTACAATTTTCTCCTTCGGTTTCTGTTTTGTGTTACTGCTCAATGTGATGATACATCAGCTCAACTCCTCCGATGGAGACATCGACATGCATGTCAGCGCAGCAAACCCTTCGGCGTACAGGATGAAGCTGCGTCAACTGTCGCAGCAGCACGACAACAACTACATCCATGCTGCAGGTTTACCATTGGTGGACAGGAAACCCCAAGCCGCCCGCGACTCAGAATACGGTCAACGCAAGGGAGTTGTCCTGATGCGGAAAGGGGAGACAATTCAGCCTGACATTGTTCTAGAGAACGTCAAAGCAGCTAAGGATAAGAAACCTATTTTGTTTAGGAAGGTTGATAAATTTTTTGTTCCCAAATCGAAGAAAAGACATTGACGATGAATACTCCTACGAGGAAGACATCGAGAAGGTGGTGATACAGGATGAGGATGAGGAAGATGACAAGGATGAGTACGAGGATGACGACATCGACCCCGATGAAGACTACGACGAGGATGCTGCAGATAGAAACCCCACAAATGTGTTTGATAATCTGAAAAACTCTTCGAAAGAGGTGTTCACAAAACCGCCATTACACTTCCAGGAGGTTGGTGTGCCTCCTGTGACTCCGGAGAAGGTGGTGTTCCCACATCAAGTGGTAGTGGACGCAATATACTGGTCACCTCAGGTCGAGCAACTCATTCCAAAAGGTGAGCACATTTGAATATCATCAACTTTGTTTCAGCAGTATTTATTATTTTTCTTTCATTTAAAGATAAAAACATGAATATTTACAAAATGGGGCATGAAGTTTAAATTTGAAAGTACCACTATATTCTGGTCACAAATTTCAGTAATTAGAAGGACAAAGTAAAAAGTTTGGTTCCAGATTCTCAAATTTCCTCCATTTCTTTTACGTTTTCCATTTGGGCCGGCAATACCAATCAGCGTTGAAATTCTGGGTTTTGTTGGGGGTTGGTCTTGTATTTGAATCTGAAAACCCTGTCAATCTCAAACATACAACTTGTGGGCCATTGCAAGGATCCCCCTGGCCTTCTACACAGTAACTTGGTGGTTATGGAAATAAGACCTCATAATTTGTTGTCAAGAGTAATTAGTAGCAGCAAAGGGAATGTGACTCTTTCACTGTCATTGACCTCCAGAGGTTCTGTGATCTTTATGCTTTGGCCTGCAAGACCAATGGTTTGGTAAAAGTGAAAGTATCCATTTCTCACCATGCTTGTGTTAGGACACCACATTCCTTTCAATCAAATATGTAAATGACAGATTGAAAGGACAATCTAGTCTTGCTCAGTCTGTACTGAATGATGAGTCACAAGGCTGAACCAAATGATACTGAATTACATCTATGGATGTCTAGTATTTCTACCCTGATAATGGGCAAGTCTACATAAGCAGACAGTATAAGACGCCAGTTTTTTATGCAAAATACTTGTTCTGATGGTTCATATAATCTCAGAATTATGATTTAAACAAATAATCTTTTCTAAGAGACTTGCGCAAGTTAAGGGACAATTATAGATGGCTATATGTGGCAACAAATATTTCCTCTTTGACATTCAAAGACAACTTATCAAGCTTAAAATCTAATTATCAGGAATTCCGATCATCCTCAATTAAGAATACATTGCAAGCACTTACATCCTCATTTCTGCTGGGCTAATTAGTGAAGGAATGGACGTTAAATGTCTCTCCAACATTCACAGTATCAAAGTGAAAATTGTTTTCTTCATGACAGTGTATAATGTATTTATTTTCCACCTCAGAAATTTATTGACCGCCCAGGTGGGATATGTTCCATTTTTTCAAGATCATGCCAGCCAATTAGGTACCATAATACTTATAAGTGTTTCTGACGGAAAATATGAGACGCAACCAAATATTACTACTCAGTTATTTTCCCATAAAATTCAAAATAACATATACTGCACTTATATTTGTTTAACCAATCAGTAATAAAACATTTTGTATCGTTATCATTTTTGTGACAGCCAGGCTGACTCATAGCATAATGGATACTCGAAGGTTCCCAACTTAGTTTCATATAAATTAGATCTTTTACATTTAAATAATGCCCCCAAACTCTCGACTATGGTAACCCAGGTAACTAGTTACTAGTTGGTAGTACTTTTGCTGAACTTTACCTGGTGTGTGACCTGACAGAGGACCAAGTGGCATATGCTCCTGAAATATGTGGCCAAGTATTTATGATTTTGGCACATTACGATAACATTTTCCCAGATAAGCGTGACGAGGAAGGAAACATTGGGTAAAAAAAGCACTAGTTAAAGGAAATGTACAGGTGACAATACTAAATACCCTGAAAGTCTTTTTCACCACACATCTGTGCTTAGATTCAATGATCCATTTACAACTCTGTCCAACAGAGAGATTGACAGTTGGGGTCAAATAATGGTTTCAAGTCATTAGGTAAACAGTACTTAAAACTACCACAGGGACAGCCAGCCCTTGAATTCACCAGATTTGGCCCTTCAGAAGTCATACTTCTGTGTAATGTAATGCTTAGTTAAATGTTCTAGCTTATCCTAACAAGTAGTCATCACATTTGTGCCTTGCAAGAAGAATCAACTTTACGTGGTGAAAGCCCTGATTAACAGGTTCCATGGAAATGTTTCAATGACTGCTCCCTGAAGACCATGATATCATTAGCTGACAAGGCAGTACTGACTATTGGCATCTCATTCTAAACACTACATTCCAGATAGTACAACCTGACTTGTTGCCATGGTAACATGACAATGGAGCAAAACTTCAGCAGGTAATTTGATCATAACTGCAGGCAAAATAAAGAATCAGACTTATCGACCTGTAAAGGCATGATAGGTTACATCAAGCACTGAATATGAGCTGACTAATTAGCTGATCGGTCATTATCAGACTGATTTGTTTTAAGTAACTAACAGAAAAATACACTTAATAGGTCCCCAGAAAACTATGCATGCACAAGAGGTGATAAAAGGATCTGATGGTCGGGTTGGTGACTAGTAATCAGTCATCATCGACTCAAACCAATTGGTCTAATTCCTTGGGCAACTAGACTCCCAACTGGGGAAAGGACAATTATCACCCATAATCTCCACAGATGTAGAGGAGGAAGCGAGATTTTATCAGCAACAGTATCATGTTCTCATATTCTAAGGACATGAAATCTATTATTTGCTTCTTGATCCAACAAATGCAAGTAACACTTTTTCATGACCGTCTGCACCAACAATAAATTACCATTCCCTAAAGACTGTTCAAATTTATCTATTTAATTTAACTGAAAATATTTTGTATGCATTTCACATATGCTTCAATGGCATTACACACTGTAACAGTGTGAAGCAGAGGATCACATGCCTCACATCTAAACCTAGTCTATCTGATGGTTGTATGATGTGACTTCTAATTGGTAATGACCCCAGCACGTGTAGCCCCAATGCAGATGTTCTTAGTCTCTGAATCTCTGGTCTCCCTAGGGCTCCTTTTCAATATAAATGGGCTTGTTTGTTACTATCAAAATTATATATATTCAGAGACTAAGCCTTAGTCTAATCTAAACCTTACATCTCACAGAAAGACATCAGTCAACACGTTACCCAAGGCACCAACTCATCCAGAGTAAGGTATGAGCTGAAGCCCACTCTCAATCTTAATTAAAGAGTCATGTTTTTTATTTTAATTACTATAAACATTTCACAAATATACATTCACAGTCAAATGGTTTGGTCATTTCTAATTCAACTATACCAGGTAAATACTAGACAATCACTGTGAAATAGATAAAAAACAACAATTTTTCTGCCTTTCAATCGACACCTGGAAAATCATTCTCTGCTTTGTCAGTTGTTTTGATAAAAATATTTCATACATATTAATTAATATATTTCATACATATTAATTAACATATTTCATACATATTAATTAACATATTTCATACATATTGATAAACATATTTCATACATATTGATAAACATATTTCATACATATTAATTAACATATTTAAACATATTTACATATTGATAAACATATTTCATACATATTGATAAACATATCCATATTGATAAACTAATGATTTAAAGTATTCCTTGAAACATGTTCAGTATTTAATTTCGCCTTCATAGCCAACATTAACAGAAAATGACAATCCTATCAGAAATGAAGTGATACCGTTTGGAATAGTCTGGAAGCTGCAAAACCCTCAAATTGCCTGCTGGGACTGACCGCAGTGTTGTCTGCAACCACTCAATTAACGATTACAACACTGTAACAGCTTCTCTTCCTGCCACATCAACAGGTGAAACACTAGCATCAATTATTAATGCCCTTGCATCAGATACAGATATCACCATCTCCCAATGGTCCAATGTGTCTAATTGTGTATCTATGTTTAATTGGCTGTCTATTCTAGTCGAGGGTTTCACACCATCCTCCATTATGCCTTGTTATGCCACAGCCTTCGTCTTCGACTGTAATGAATCAATTATAAGATTTTCAAACCCCAGCCCACCTGACCACGAAACTCCCTGCCTACATCCCTTGTGGTCCCTATGTTCCTTTATTGATGAAGAAAATCACTGTTTTTTTCTTCTTTTTGGGCCTATGCATGCATGCATGCATGCGTGTGCTTTGAGTGAAACACATCCAATGAAGTTATTGTATACAAATGCCTGAACAATACCTTGATAAAAATTCAGACAAAGTTGGATGACATTTGGATGAATAATGATTGAATTATGTTGGCCTAATCTTACTCTACAGTGAGGCAGTCTCATGGCAGGTGCTTGCTGGTCAACTGTACCAATATGTTAAATCCTCATAAAAGTGTTGCCATGTCTCCCAAGTTTACATATCAGCTAAAACTGCCATAAATCTGGTAAGGTGACACATTCTGACTTGGTCTCATCCAACTGGAGCCTATGTTACCCACTAAACTATCAATGGATGATAACATATTTGTCTGCCTGTTGTTTTGAATGGATTAAACAAGGGGGGACACAGATACCAAATGGAATTGTGAAATATAGAGTACTAATTGAATAAAATACACTAAAAGCCTTTGACCAGTACAAACATATCAAAAAGACAAGAAACGCTTCATTGACTTAAGTGGAGTCTTGCTGCTGCACACAGAGAATCCCTCATGACAGATTAAGAAAGATTTTTCAAACAAAACTGAAAAACATTAAGCAAAAGCTAACATAGGTTCAGATACTAATTATTCCTTATTTGATTTCAACCTACTCTAGCTGATGTGTTTGTGGAGCAACAACCATGAACACTTGTTTCTCAAGTGTGTGGTGTGAGCGTCAGAATGGCACCAGCCACCTTGTCAAAGACGCATCAATGTACAACTAAAGTCAGGTTAATTCCTGCCTCTCCACTACTGAACAAAGTGTGCACCCATCTGTACAAAGGGCTGCCGTGTTGATTGTCAACACAGGTAATTGAACAGCTTCAAGTTCCTGAACAATTTCCACAAATATTTCGGCAGTGTTCTGGGTAGTATATACATCTCAAGGGCATAAAATGTGTGATCCACTGTTTGCTGTTGATGTAGCAGAGAGACCTTTTGGAGCGCTTATGTCTAATTCCATCTGGTTGTCATCACCAATGACGGGAGCCATCTAGTTGTAACCACAAATGATTGGATCCATCTGGATGTCACCACCATTATCTGGGTCCA